TTTTTTTTTTTTTTTTAAATATGAAGTGGCATCATTTTGTTACAGGTCTCTCTGTAGAAGGGGATTTACAGGGTATCGAGAAACTCTATAGGGTGCTCTCTGCCCATATATGGCCTGGAATGTTGTTGAAATCTGGTGATAGAATAAATGAACCTTCACTACCCGATCAAGAAGGTTGACGTGCTAACTAAATAAGTTTTATGTGTTTAAGTTGTTCTACCTGTGATGTTTATTCTCTCCTATCAAACTTGTGAATGCCTGTGTACTTTTAAGCAGAGTTGTCCGACGAAGAATCTGATGATTATCAACCTGAGTACGAGAAATTATCCTCTGGTTCAGCAGAACCCTGGGACAGCGTGGGATGGATTTCTGCTGATGGTCCTGCTTCGACCTCAGGAAACTTAGATAGAGAGAGTGAAGTTAAATTGATAGGAAAAGAAAACAAGCTGTCAACATCCGTTTCAAAATTTCCAGAAGAGATTGACTGTGACCTGGTCCACGAAGCTGAAATAAGGTCAGAGGTGGATGAGGAAGATAAAACTTATGATTTTGAGAATTTGGAGAAGCTGATGGCGGAGATTGGTAACATGCGCAATGGCCTGAAATTGATGCCCGATTTCCAGAGGAGGGAAATGGCTGCAAAGCTGGCAATGAAGATGGCTGCAATGTTTGGGGACAGCAGTGAAGAGGATTTTGTGAGATTGAGAAAACATAACACCAAATGTGCAATTAATTGATGACTGACATGTAAGAAAAGGAGTTGTGACTGTAGTGATGTANTGATATATCACCAAGTTGGGGGGAAAATTTTGGAGGAATGTAAGTGTGATAGTGTTCATGCATATTTACTAGCGTTTTCCAGTTCACAATTGTTTGTTATTCTGTGACCTTAAGTTCACAGAGCTATATTTTGCCTTGGTGATAAACTAGTTTGGAAAGAAAAAGTTGCATGTTTAAAATCACCTCTCTGTTCACCAAATAGAGCCGTACTGGTGTTTATCGTTATTTAATGGAGTTCTTCGAATGGAGTTCATGCTTGTAAGTCTGAAAGAAAGAAACCATGCTAAAGCCATGTGATTATGTAGTGGTGGAATTAACGGGCAAACATATATTTTTGTCTTTGTTTCTTATGATGCGTATAAGCAAGAAATCCTAATCACCCTTCTTCACATAACAAGTGCTCAATGATGGGTATGTTAACCCAAACTTTAACCTCTTGAAATGAACCAACTTATCAGTCAAAAACAATAATGAAGCCCTTTTTCATTTTCCCTTCCTCTCATCCCTGATCATCATCCAAGTCACATCTGGTAACTCGACCGCCAAAACCTCCGCATGCACAAAAAAGACCCGAGCACCAAATCCAATTTCTGCACAGCCTCTATTCAGGTAAATCCCCTGAACCAGTGCACCACCCTCATAGGCCTGGACACCACCNTATTCTGTGGACTTAAAAGTTATTTATGCACCTACTCAGAAACAAAGTGCTGAAAAACCTTCTCGATAAGCAATTTCATTCAAGTGATTGCCTTCTACTTAATCTATTGTCTTCAACATTCGCCCATTCGGAAATTAAGGCTACGCTGTATCTATAGTTTGGTGAGAACAAAAAATCTATAAGACTATTTTAGAAGTCATGCTATTGTAAACATTAATCTACTCAGTCATACAATAGCTTGAT